AAATATAAATGGTGGAAAGGAAAAAGGGTGATCGGGCAGGGATATGGTTTGGGTATTGGTGGGTGTAAGAGGTTGTGTCCTGCGGCCAACGGGGCATTGCTTGATTACACTATTTTCCCTGTCTGTGTCGGTTAAGAACCGGCCGTTGCAATGGACACTAGGCAAGTCACAGACTTATTATCCTGAGCACATACTTGGGTATGGGTGCTTGGAAGACTTATTACTCTCTTGTCATGGGTTCCGGCTCTTTCCGGACCGACTGTCATGGTGGTTTTTGGGTTTGGAGGTCCTTGCACCGCACTGAGTCGGGGACTCAGCGGCGGGGGCTTAGAGTCCCAGTTTGGAGGAAGACCTAGAGCCCATGATAGGAGGGTAGTGGGTTGGTCCTGCTTGTGCCCAGGGTACAAGCGGGGCGTGTGTTTTTGAGGTACCCAGCTGGGGGCATTGAATCGTGAATCGCCGGAATTCCGGTACGACTTGTCTTAACTCTAGCACCATAGTAAGAACTGAAAGATGAAAGATAGAAAAGGAAATCTGATTGCTTACCACCTGCTTGAAAGTAGCACAGGTGCTTACATAGAATAGTTAGTTAATGAACTAATGCACTGCTAATAAAAATTGAATATAAGGACACACTTTTAGTAATGCTCCTGCAGATGCAATAAACCCACAAGCCAGATAGCCTTGCATATCCTTGGAGTCTTTTCTTTCCTCCTGTCGGGTAAGTCTTACTGAGTACAATTGAGTACTCAGGGTTTTATTTCCCCCTATTGCAGGTGACAGGTGAATGCTAGAGCTGACCCTTGTGTGTGGATTCCTCCTGGTGGGCTCAGAGAGGATTTCCTTTACGCTGCTATCATAGTTTTTTATTTATAACTCTCATTAAATGATTTTATAAATGAAAGTTTATAACCTGTTGTCATAGTTACATATCAATGCTTCACCATGACATGAATAGATAATTATTTTCGCTGTAATTCTGATCACATGTTTATATTCCGCTGTTACATTAAATTGTTTATAACTCTGATAATATGATTATATTCCGCTGTTATAATAATAAATATTATACTATGATATTGTATTAAAAGTGATGTAAGAAATTGTTAAGAATGATGTAAGCTTTATTCTCTCATTTGTGATCCTGATGGAAAAATGTGGACTTTCGGGTTCTCCCTTGAGGTGTGCCCGACGGAACTGTGTAATTTGGTATTCTCCCTTTAGTGCTTACTGTCTAATGGAAGACAAGCACTCCTGGGAGACATTAGATTAGGCGGTTCTACCACACCTGAACACTTAGCCACCCACAACAACCTACAGACCTGACTTGACAGATAGTTCGCCATAGTTGACAGAACCTTCCGATAGGATTATAATTTACACAGAGAGGTTCCCGAGAGCATAGACTTCGTACCGGAGGGTCCGACCCTGGTTTGGAGAATCTGATGGGCCCAGAGAGCCAATTTCCCACTAAGTCCTAGTAACCACCAGACCGTCTGACATCCACGCCGGACTATCCGATAGTCACCAGTCAGTAGACCACTGGTGTATAACTACACACTGACTCTTGTGTCACTAAAGCATAATCAACTAAGAATCATTGCATAGCATGAGCACGTACTTTATGCAGTTCACTCATGAAGCATCATGCATGTATAGGTGACCCGATTCCCGAAGAACCCTTTGAGGAGGAGCCTTAGAAGGAAGAAGTTGTCGAGCCTAGCAACGACCCCAAGGCAGGCCCCTATGCATCCCTATGCTTTACAAGTGCATAATGAACTATGGTTATCTATTGCATCGCTATGTTACTATATGACTAGTGAACCGGGAGGGAATCACCTATGTCAAGCCTTATCCATATACTGCCTCACCAATCAACCATACATGTCTTATTTAATAATCATGCTTAGTATGCTTAGATCTTAGAAGTCAAGCTAATGATGTGTTTCTCATTACTCACGTGATGATAGGTTAATAATTCACTAAGCAACATCTTGTGAAGGGATCAACACTTGTTCCACTTGGTTATGGTATGAGCTTTGATCGGTAAGGGGTATGGTCATGGAAAGATGGGGATTCTTGGATGACATAGCTTGCTTACTGGTTAAGGACCGTGCATCCGTGGTAGTGAGTATGAACATAAAACTGTACATACCACTTGTTGTCAATGGGGAGACAAGCCAAGTAACTGATTGTGACCGTCTTATCCGTGAAACTGGCAAGGTGGTGGCATTGGTCGGAAATGTCCGGGGCATTGACCGGGCATCCAGTCGAACCTTTCATCGGACATCTTGGCCGGGTTGGGGAAAGGTTGAAGCGTCGAGATATCCCTTCTATACCGATGGGTCTTATAGGCGATATCCCTTGTCTTCGAGTGGGGTTAACTTGTACCCCTCTGTAGAGTATAAAAGATTGAAAGCAATAAGTTCTACTTCTAGATACGGACTAGTGTTGGGATTGGAGATCAGGACTCGTGGAATATCGAGTTCCCTTTTGCTAATGCTTAACTTGATTACCTATGCTATGCTTAATTCTGCTATCGTCATAGATCACCTTTACTTTATTGTATAAATGCTTTTATGCAAAGTTACGCAATCCTTGCTACTACCCAAATGCATAATCCTTGTTTACTATACTGGGTAAGTCCTGCGGAGTACAATCGAGTACTCACCCTGTGTGATCTTAAGTTTTGCAGGTATCGTAGACCCTGTGCTTGGATTCTTCTATGCTCCCGAACCTTCGTTGGATAAGGAGTGGTGAAGGATCCCATGTCCCATAGACACATGGATGTGGCACACCCATGTATCCGTTATCATCTATGTTATATTGAAAGACTTCCGCTAGACTTCGATGTAGACTGTAATGTGTGACCACGTGATGAACTAAGTGTGTGAACTAAGACTTGTAAACTTTAATGCCCTAAACTTGCAATGTGATCTAAGCACTGTTGTGATATATTCTCTTTCTCGAACTGATCCTGAAGAGGAGTTGCCATGTGTGCTCATAGGGACCTTCGTGATGTTGATTTGCTTAAATTGAGGGGTCAAGTGGCCGACACTCGATTTAGGTGAATTAACGCGGCAGTCACCCACATTACCCATGCCATCACCATTTTGAAAGATACATTAAAATAACCCACTAATATATTTTTATAAATGATCTTCATATACCCTTATGGAAGGTAATGTAGACTAACCACTGCATTTGCATTCAAATTACCAATATATGCCATTGAAAAATATAAATTAACACATTTTTATAAACATGAGCGATAGTGGTAACTGGATTTGATTGTGGAGAAGCAACTAATAGATGGTTAGATGAATCCAATGGTCCATAAAACTGTCGGATCAATGAAAAATCTGATAGTGAAGGACCTTATGCTGCTCCCAGGTCAAGTCATGATCCAGTATTGGAAACCAACAGTGATATTCCCCATATCAATGTGACTAAAACATGTAGTAATATATTACTGCCGATTTGTGACTCAACTCGGTAGTGATAGCAGGCTTTGCTCCTAGGTCAGAATGAAGGATCACAATCATTATATGGATCCTATAGGGCTTATGACCTGTCAATGAAGCTGGATTATTATTGATTCTAGTACACACGGTGGTGATAGACCGACAGGGATTCCATGTTATGTATTAGGGGCTGTGTGGATCCCTTTATTTTGGAACAATTGTAATCTACTTAATGGATTACTATTTGGCTTGAAATTTGAGATTCCATAACTTTCTAAAGTTCATATATAAGCATATCTCAAATTCATAGGGTGGAGATGGAAATTAATTTTATAGATCACCATGCTACGTTTCTACTCTCCAACTTATATCATACTTTTCAACTAGCTTCTCTATAGCAGAAATGCAACATATAAGCATCACTTTTATATGGCTAACAATAATATACAAATATATTCCATATAAAACCATATTAACTTAATTAATATGTGCCTAAATTATCTTTTATTAGAATGAATTCAATTCCATTGATCTAAATAAATAGTGATTTTGAACCTCCTTGGGTCACGCCTACATCCACGAGCTCCGTCCAAGACGAATAAAAATCCTGAACAACTGGCATTTCTTAATGGCTAAGTCTTACGCATTATGCCACTAGTCGACTGTGTAGGATTTTACTAAGAGCATCTGTTGATTATCATTTCGAAAAAAGAAACGCGCATGCACTTGCTTGCTTTCGTTAAATAGGAACCTAGCACACATTCAGTCACAGCTCATGTCAGTGGACCTAAAACTTGTTCCCATACCCACAGTGCTTGCCAAAGAGATGGGGGCATCTCAACGGCCGGCCAGTAAAGAAGCGTACACAACACCAGATACAACATAGTTGTATCAGTTGGATGGTTCATCCCCCACATGACCATATGCGATTCTCGACTTGACTCTCCTAGTCTCCTCCATCCACGCAGTCAAGGGCGAAGCTATATTGTGACCGGGGGTGCATATGCATCCAAATTTTCAAAAATCAGTTATATAAAAACCAAATTTTCATCATATATGTACCCTTCGTAATAAAAATCTATGCACGGTAAGTTCAACCCTTTTAATTTTCTCTAACTTCGTCACTGCGCACAGTCATCGGTCTCCCACCAAAACAAAATAAAGGAAGCCGGAGAGCCTCCCACCAAAACAAAATAAAGGTAGCCGGAGAGTGAGCGCGTGTTCAGTTCCATCCTAAAATCCCAAAAATGCTACAGTACCTGTTACATCGAATGTTTGCGGTCTATGTATGGAGCATTAAATGTAGACGAAAAAAAAACTAATTGCACAGTTTGGTGGGATATTGCGAGACGAACGTTTTGAGCCTAATTAGTCCATGTTTGAACACTAATTATCAAATAAAAACGAACGTACTACAGTAGCCCCAAATTCCAATTTCCTGGAACTAAACACGTGCTGAGAGCACACACGACAAGGACCTGACCTGTACTGTAGCTTCCTGCGCCACCACGGAAAACCCCACTAGCTAGCTAGTGCATGCGGTGTCCATTTTTCATGGTGGTCACATCCTGCCTCTGCGGCCTCTGCTCCTGCTTCTTCGACGACAAGCGTAAGCCTAACCAAGAAAAGCCTCCGATAGCCGCCACTACAGCCAGCGCCGATGACCAGACAGCCATCATCACCCACCGCACCGTGGAGCTAAGCACCGGCGTGCGCCTGCACCTGGCGGAGGCCGGCCCACCATCATCATCAGGCGCGTCCACGGTGCTGCTGCTGCACGGCTTCCCGGAGCTGTGGTACACCTGGCGCCACCAGATGCGCGCGCTGGCCGCGGCCGGGTACCACGCCGTGGCGCCGGACCTGTGCGGGTACGGCGACTCCGACGCGCCCACGGTGGCGTACCCCGGGCAGTACACCGCGCTGCACGTGGTCGGGGACCTGGAGGCGCTCATCGACGACGTCCTCGCCGGCGGCGAGAAGAAGAAGCAGGTGTTCGTGGCCGCGCACGACTGGGGCGCGCTCATCGCGTGGAGCCTCTGCCTGTTCCGGCCCGACAGGGTGCGCGCTCGTCGCGCTCAGCATCGCCTACACACCCCGGAGCGCCGCGCGGAAGCCCGTCGATGGGCTCAGGGCGCTCTTCGGCTGTTCAGGTCTTGGATTGTTTCAGTATGTTTTAGCTTATTCTCTCTCACATAATACTATTGAATAATCCAGAACCATCCAAAATCCACTGTTACATGCACCAGCCGAACACCCTGGTACGTGATGCAAGGCCTTGCCATGTATGATATTATTATTACTCCCCCCGTTCTAAATTATAAGTCGCTTTAGCTTTTTTCATTATATACCTATAAATTTTATTATATCTAGATACATAGTAAAATGATATAAAAAAATCAAAACGACTTTGTCAGGTTCGTAAACCCGGGGTCCCTCATGGACCGGCTTCCCAGCAAAGGTTCAGCCCAGCAAACGACGTTGCGAACGACGCGCAACTCCTGGGCCAGCCCAAATACGTAAACAACAGGCCATAAAGGGAGATCCAATCTTCGACCGGAAGGCCTCGCTAAGAAGGAACGACGCTCGCTTCTAACTCCAGCCCGCCTCTCCGACCGAAAGGTCTAGCCAAGGAGGACAGCGCTCGCTTCCGACTCTGGCCCGCCTCTCCGACCGGGGATGCGCCAAACCCCTGCTTACAGCTCTTCTCCGACTGGCGCAGTCGGAGCCGAATGGGACCAACTGACCGGGAACGCCCGCTCGGTATGGATCAGGAAACGAACGGAGCAAGTAAGTCTGGGCACTCAAGTCTGCCGCAATACCGAGGACTATACCCTGTACACCTGCAGGACAGTAACCGTCAGGACATGTCAGGAGGGTGCCCTGCAACATCCCAGGCATGCCAGAACCCAAGTAATGTTGTGGGCACCGATATTTGCCCTACAGTGTTGTAGGCGCCATTAACTCCCACACCATGACAAGCACAGTAAGGCTCTCCCACATGCCTTTGGGCATCAACAGTGTTGTAGGCGTCATCATTTGCCCTATATAGAGAACACGGTAAAAACCTCCCAGATGCGTCTGACATCGACAATGTTATGGGTGCCTACAATCATCTTGTACCCGACGGCATGGGCAACAAGACTTAGTAGCATACATACTCTTTCTCTCGTTCGTAAGGCCGTCCCCTTCATCTATAAAAGGGGATACGCTCTCTCCCAACAAGGGGATCAATCAGTTCACTTACATCAATTCACCCTCTGTTAGCTTTAGACACTCTAAAGCTACACAGAGCGCACACTCGAATAACACAGATGATCCGAACAACCAAGGATCTCAACGAACAACAAACATTTGAATACTTAGCACATAGCGGAGCTCCCGTCACTCTCCGCCTTTCAGACCAGAGTCCGACCGGATCTCTTGTACCCCCCATCTTTCTCCCTTCCGTTTGTAACCCCACAGCAAACTTCGAGCACCTGGGCTCAGGAATAAAGTCACCGACCGGCTCAAACTGGACATAGGGCATGTTGCCTGAACCAGTATAAACCCTGTGTCATTGAGTGTTAGGCCACATCCGATCACAACGTACAGCAAAACTACAAGTATTTACGTGTTGGCCATTTTCTGCACCGACAATTGGCGCCATCCATGGGGAAGACAATGTACATTCACACTTTTTGGTCATCGGATGGCCCACTTTTCCGCCATCTTCGCCATGGCGGGCTCAAGCGATACGACTCACTTTGGCTCGCTGGAGTTTCTCACACTCCCACCTGTTGGGATGTGGGTTCCACCCGTCTTCGAGCCGTCCCAGGCCTTCCTCTTCGGAAGCCTAGACTTCGTCGCCGACCAGCTCGGCGTACTACAACTCCACGAGGAGGCACTTGTTCTGGTGCCCTTCGGAGGGGCGCCCCCCATCGGCTCTGGGACACACAACAACTTCAACGATGAGGCGCCTGCGCTTCATTCCGAGCAAATGCTCTGCTCAAACCCTCTGTGAGTAATATACATGCTATTATTTACTCACTATTTACTATCTTCCACCGATTATCCGGAGGGACCGTGTTGTCCGCACCGCAACCACCATACGATCGGTTCCCCTATGGCCTCACGTCCCCCGTGGACGCGTGCACTCGGGGACTCCGAAGGACGCTGGGGCCGCCCCCTCTCACATCCGAATTCATGGGAATGGCGAGCTATGCTCCCGCCACTTTCCATGAACTCCTGGATGATGAGGTTGAGAGCGATGGCTCCAATATCGGTGATGTGGCACCTAGCCACCGTCTGTCCTAGGAGTGCGCTATGGTGGATGCTCCGGGACAGCCACCGGTGGTGGCAAAGTCCTTATAGACTCACCCCTCCGGACCCTCATGTGGGGCCCTCGCGCTCACGCAAGAGCACGCCGAGGAGCTATGACAATGGTGGCAGAACCAGCCGCCACCTGCACCGGCGCGCTCGATGCAGCACGTTGCTCCCCATGCGCGTAACCCGGCGAGCGGCGCCTGGCGTCGCGCCCGCCAGGTCCAGCGCGACATTATGGACGAGGGCAATGATCCCCCATAGTTCGCTCGGGCTAGCCAGAACATCGCCGCTTGTGGCAATGCTTCTGCGCGGTGTTCCTGAGCCCGTCGACCCCTAGGAGCGGGTGGTCGACCGGAACCTCCGGGCACTAGTGGAAGCCGCCGCCGTTCAACAGACGGAAAGCTCTGTATCGCGACTCCGCATCACGGCCTCTCTCCCCACCATGGGGTGGGGACGCACCAAACGAATCGCTCCATCCGCTCACCGCTACAGCCACCAAGCGCGACACAAGAGGCCGCAGCTGTGCTGCGGTCCGACCCGGTGCATTCTCCACACCAACCGCCAGTGCGCGAATGGCTCAGTCCAAACCAAGACGCTCGCAGCGTCATCAGCAACCGGCATCAGGCCTGGCATGATGATGACATCCATCGGGTGGCGGTGAGGGCAGGCAACACGGGCCCCGGCCGGACCATCGAGGGGAGCGGTGAAACGCGCCCTAGGCATGGTCGCCGGCCAGACGACCGGAGTCCCAGCCCAGATGGCCCGGGACCATGGGCCTTTGGCCGACGCATCCAGAGAGCACCGTTCTCCACTGCGCTTTCAACCGCCCACCTACATCGCCAAGTACACCGAGGAGACGAACACCGGTATATGGCTCAAAGATTTCTGGCTCGCCTACCGAGCCGGAGGGGTGGATGATGACCATTTCATCATTCAATATCTCCCCATCTGCATGGGGAAATATGTTCAGGCATGGCTTGAATTCCTCCCACATGACAGCATCCACGACTGGGTGGACCTCAAGAGGATCTTTGTCAGAAATTTCTAGGGGACGTATGTCCGCCCCGGTAACTCCTGGAACCTCAAGAGCTGCCAGCAGGAGCCCAGCGAGTCCCTGTGGGATTACATCCGCAGGTTCTCCCAATGATGCAAATCCCTCCCTGATGTCGTCGACGCGGACATCATCAGCGCATTTCTCTCTAGGACAACCTGCGAGTCCCTGATCCACAAGCTTGGCTGCCTAAAGCCCCATACCACCCGTGACCTGCTCGATGTCGCCACGAACCACGCCCTGGTGAGGAGGCAGTCGGAGCGGTCTTCAACGGAGGCTAGGACAAAGGCAAGGCCAAGCGTGAAGACCAAGATGAGGGCCCCTCCACGTAGTGGGGCAAGAAGAACAAAAAAGATCGGCGCCGACCGACCAAAACCGCGTTGGTCGCCGCAGCTGATCGCGCAGGCAAACAGCCCCAGCAGGGCCTGCCTAACCACTTCAACAAGCTCATGGATAGCCCATGCACTAACCACGCCTACCCCGTTAAACACCTCTACAAGGACTACGAGCTCCTCAAATATTTCCTCAACAGGCCGGCGGGCCAAAAGAAGGAAATGACAAGGAGGTGGCAGCCAAGAAGGGAGGCGCGGCGGGCAAGGACGGGGATAGCTTCCCCAACCTCAAGGTATGCATCATGATCTTCAGTGGATCCGATGCCATATGCTCCAAATGCTAGCACAAGTTATGCTATAGAGAGGCATGCGCCGCCGAGACGGCCATCCCCTCCTTCCTTAGCTGGATCGGAATCTCCGATCACCTTGATCAGAGGGAACATCCCTCCCACGTCACCAGATTAGGACACTACCCGCTCGTCATTGACCCCATCATTCTCAAGAAGTGCCTCACCAAGGTGCTGATGGACAGAGGCAGCGGCCTCAACATCCTCTACGTCGACACCCTCGACGCCATGTGCATCCCCCGGTCGGAACTCTGCCCAGCGGGCTCTCCCTTCCATGGCGTGATCCTGGGAGCGCAGAGGCACCCGCTCGGGCAGATTGACCTGCCCGTCATGTTTGGCAAACGAGTCAACTTCCGCTCGGGGGTCCTCACCTTCGAAGTGGTGGACTTCCCAGGGTCCTACCACACCATCTTGGGGCGGCCATGCTTTGCCAAATTCATGGTGATCCCCAACTACACCTACCTCAAGCTAAAGATGCCAAGACCGAATCGGCGTCATCACTATGGGCAGCACCTTCTCGCACGCCTTCACGTGCGATCGCGAGCACTTCGAGCTCACCACCGCCGTCATCAACTCATCCAAGCTCCCATGGCTCAGGGAGTCATCGACCCCAGCAGTCCTCAGACTACAACAAACCGACCTCCTCGATGGCCTTCCGCCCACTCGAGGAAACCAAGGCGGTAGGAATCGACCCCACTGACCCTATCAAGATGGTGTGGATCGGGACCCAGCTCCCGGCCAAATAGGAATGCGAGCTCGTCGATTTCCTACGCGCCAATCGCGTGATATCTTCGCATGGAAGCCTTCTGACATGTCGGGCATACCATGAGAGGTTGTCGAGCACACGCTGCGCCTCATCCTAGGCTCAAAGCCGCCAAGCAGTGCCTGTGTCGCTTCGACGATGAGAGGCGTAGGGCCATAGGTGAAGAGATCGCCAAACTCCTGGCAGCCGAATTCATCAGAGAGGTATTCCACTCCGACTAGCTTGCCAATCATGTTCTTGTTAAAAAGAAGACCGGAAATAGAGAATGTGCGTTGATTATACTGGCCTCAACAAAGCGTGTCCAAAGGATCACTTTCCTTTGCCACGCATAGACCAAATAGTCGACTCCACCTCGGGATGCGAGATCCTCTCCTTTCTAGATGCCTACTCAGGCTATCACT